AAAGAATTCGTTCCCAGTTCAGTTCTCCTGGGTGTGTCCTGTGTTGCTGATAGTGCGTTCTAAGTAAAGACTGTTTAGTTGACAAGACCTGAGGAGTTAAATTTGCCTTGTCACTGGCTAGGTGAACCTATCTCTTGAAGGACGGTGTTAGACTGGTGGTAATTGCTTATAAACATTCTTCTCTGTTGTGTTGGATGGAAGGCGTGATGATAGCATATATGGGGAAGATTATATTTTACAAGCCAAAATAATGAGAAATATCTCTCTAGCCGCATGTTCCAGAAACAGGACTCCCTTCTCCGTTCTGAGAGCTGTGTCATCTGAAAATCATCTTTCTGTCAGCACTGCATTTGTCTCTGCGGCAGAATGCCGGCACGAGTTACAGCGAAGCTTCGATAAGCTAACGAGCGGCTCTGACTCTCTCTCTCTCTCTCTCTCTGACTCCCACCTCAGGAAGGGATTCCTATATTAAGCTTGGATCTTACTCTTTTAAGTGCTAGAAAGATATGATAGATTTTGCGCAATATATTTTTTAAATCAGCATATAACATATTAGATACCATGATGACAGTCTTGAACTGATTGTGTTCTATGTTCTCCTTCCCCCATCTCCTGTAGCTCTTGTACTTCTGTTCCCCCCCTTGTAGCCCTTCCTAGCCCAGACTATTCTCCTCTTTCTTGTCCCGTGTATCTTTTTGCTTACTTTCCATCCTTCCTTATCACCTCTATTACCCTCTCTTGGTCTTTCTCCATTAAGATACTATCCTTACCTACTTTTTGCTTTTTTGGTTTCTTGAGACATGGTTTCTCTGTATTGCTTTGGAGGTTGTCCCGGAACTCTCTCTGTAGACCAAGCTGGCCTCAAACTCACAGAGATCCGCCTGCCTCTGCCTCCTAAGTGCTAGGATTAAAGGCATGCACCACCAACACCGGGCTTTTACCTACCTTTTGGAATCTCTATCCTCCACTAAGGAATAAACCGACTTCTTAGGATAGGATTGTTCCCTCATAATGACTTTTAAGTTACATGTGGATTAAACAGATTAAACACTGACATGTTAGGCTGAAAGGGAAATTCTAGGCAATAGTTGTATGGATGTTATGCTCTCTATCTGGCAGCCAAAGGGGAGGGGGTGTCAGCACATTCTTCACGTGCTGTTCTAATAAATCATGGTGACCTGATTGGATCTTAGCTCACCTTCAGAGAAAGTCCAGGGTTTTCATTTGTGACTGCCACTAGTTTCCAACATTTCCACATAAGAATGTCAAGCAGATTAAGGCAGCTTTAGAAAGATGCACACCACAGTTTTCTCTCATTCACAGTTCCCAGAATTTACATAGACACTTAAAATCATGTATGTATGTATGTTTGTCACGAAAATCGAGGGCAAAGTGTCTAGGAAACGAAGGGGACTCATGAAGGAGGACCCAGGACGAAGATGAAGGCAAACACAATCGACATACAGCACACTCTTTTATGGAAACTTAGAGATAGATGATGACAGTGGAAAAGGAAAGGCTATAATGATGGGTTCTTGTATTACAAAACCGAGAACCTGGGAACCAAACACAGCATCCAAGAAAGTGGCACCATGACCACTTATATCTTATGTTATAGGCAGGATGACAGAAAAGGAGGGCACAGAAGAAATCTCATCTTTTCCCCCACCTACTCAGCTCACTGGTATACTGGAACGTATATAAGCTCACAACTCTCTTGTAAGGCTAGATAAGGACATGGAGCTCCCAAGGGGAAATAATACGTCCAATTTGGAAGCAGCAATACATGTCAAACAAAAGTACATGAGGATAGCAAGCACTGTCAAAACTTCTCAGCTTGTTTCACAAGGAATGCTGGGATAGCTGGAGAGCTGGAGAACGGGGAGAATATCTTATCAGCCTTCTTACCAGCTGAATTGGGTTTTTGAAAACATGGGATTTCTATGCTTTATATATTTATATCTGGAACACTTATTTTCACTGCATGTATGTCTTTTTCTGTATTTTTTATGACAGACAGTAAAATGAGTATCATATTTTCTCATTCCATACATATATCTATATACATGCAGTTGTTGTCATATAAAAATAATCCAGAAAAACCTGGTCAGCTAATTCTGAGTTAGGAAGTGGCACTCTGGACTCCTTTTGTTGTTGCTATATTTAATCCACAAGCAAAAGCCCACAGAGAAGACTGCAGTGATATTTCTTCCTGTCAGTGCCTCTTGTTGTCATTTTTTTTTTCTATGCTACGGTTGGAAGCCTCTGTAGCAAAAACACATGAACTTGGGCACACCGTCTCATTGGTGTACCCAAGATGATGGATTTTGTATTTCCATATGTACAGAAATTAAAAAATAAAACTATTTTAATGAAACCCACCAAAGAGCCCTTCCTGGATTTGAAGTACTTAATGATTCCAAAAGTACATTTTAAACATGAGGGAGAATACCTGGACTCTGGAAGAGTTGATTCTGCCCACACAATGTGTTTCTATCAGCTGCCTCTGACAGCTCACAGGCTGTCCGTATTCAGACTTTTTGAGAAAGTTTTGCAGGTGAGATTAGGGCAGGGATGCTTTGCAATTCAGTTTTTTTTTTTTTTTTTAAATCTTAGTTTTATTGGCTCAGTTCAAGAGTTCTGAGGACTGTGGATGAAGGAGACCAACACATAACACATTATCACATGAAGAAAGCACATTTCTAACTGACTCTAAAAAATTGACACAATAAAATTACCTAACTTTAGTCAGGTGGTAGTGGTGCATGCCTTTAATCCCAGCACTGCGGAGACAGAGACAGGTGGATCTCTGTGAGTTCGAGGCCAGCCTGGTCTACAAGGCTACACAGAGAAACCCTGACTTGAAAAATCCAAAAAATTTAAATAAATTACTTAAGGTGCTTTTCCATTCTAAATTGTAGGATTGATGTTGTAGCATGATGGGAGCATCATGACAGGGACATCATGGTAGGGGTGACATGAGAGAGAGGGGCAGCATGGTAGGGACATCATTTCAGGGGTATCATGATAGGGACATCATCGTGATCGGAACAACACGGTAGGAACATCATTTCTGGGGCATTATGAAAGGGGCATTGTGGTAGGACCATCGTGGTAGGAGCATTATGGTAGAAGCATCAGGATAGGGTTTTCTGGAGCAGCATAGAAGGAGACCCAGCAGCTGATTAAGTGCTTAGGGAGGGAGCATTTTGGGAATCCTGTGGTCTGGGCACCTCATACACTGGGAAAGATTTTAACTCAGCCCTGGACGATGCTGAGGGGTGATGCTGAAGATGATGCAAAAGAATTTACAGGTCTTTTGCTTTTTGAAAAGAAACCTCAACACATCACTTGTATCTGGTTACCCACCCTTTTCTACACAAGCTGACTGTGACATTGTTAATTGTTGACTCTATAGAATCTATGGTCAGTTGGGTGATGGGCCTCCAGGACCCCTGTGGGTGATGGCTGGGTTAATATGGGAACATTCAACTGTGGGTGGCACTGTTGCTTGCCTGGGATCCAGGGCTGTAAGACCAGAGAAGGTTAACTGAGCAACAGCAAGCATTCACCCCTCTTTACTGCTTCCTGTTTGTGGATGCCATGTGACCAGCTGCTTTGAGCTTATGCCACTTTGACCTCCCCACTACGCCGGGTGGTCCCCTGAACAGAAACAGCCATTTTATGGATGCAGAGTTGATGAAGGTCACTAAAGGAAGAAGGAAGAGAGACAAATTAAGAACCCCACAGCTGAAAAACCATTCTGCAAGTAGATAGAAATGAATGTAGTCAGTTATTCTTCTGTCCTCCCTGGATGCAATGGACCAGTCTTTGGGGTCTCTCTTTAGTTACTATTTTGAACTCTGAAAAAGCTCAATGCATCTTTCCTTGGTGATTGCCCAGGTACCAACTTGCCATTTGATAGAGGTGCCATTTCTCATCCATATGAATCTGAGTGGGGAGAAAGGAGCACAGCTGATTTAAATACCTTAACTTGGAATTTACTATGGATTTAAAAATCTGACTTAATGTTGCATTAGCCTTTGGTGGCTGCTTTACTGCCTTTAAAGCATGCATATATAATTGGATACTGTGATGCTTTGCAGGCAAAATAAATACCAACTCACACTTAAATAAATACTCTGAGTGATGAAGTTCATGTAGACATAAATTAATCATTTACCAGTTAACCAATATGCACAGGAAAGAAATGAATCACTTATTAAGGCTCGCCTCATCCATCAAGCGGAAAAAATAAAATGCTGATATATTTTATAGTGCCGCTGTGAGGAAAATGTATAAAATTATGGCAAACCAGTTTATAAACCATAAAATGCAGTGTGAACATTAAATTAATAATATTTGTACTAATTCAGATTCAACACCCTCTGCATTAAATATAACTTTTTGCCTATTGAAGCATGCACAAATCCAGGCTGAGGCTTTTTATTTAATTTTTAATGGTGGCTTCAGAACCCTTCAAGGCTTCACAGGAGCAATTGGTTATGTTAAAACACTTTCCTGGCTCCAGCCACCAGTTTTTTGAGACAAAGTTCTTAGCTGTTCATATTCCTAGGGAAGTTTTCAAGAGGCTTCCTTCAAAGGGCATAAGACCTCTCACTTGTAGGGACACAGTATCGACAAGGGAATAGGGGTCAAGATTTTCTTTGATTGGGTAGAAGATATATTATCATGCTCTGCGCTTTGCTTTTTTGCTAGTTACAGATGGAGGTGGATAGAGACGTGAAATTGGGGGTGGCGGGTCTCTGTATATTTGCACTAAACAGACCTGCAGTGCCAACCGAGAGGGCAGGGGCAGCATCAGGGAGGTGAATCAAGGTCATATAGCTTTGGAGTTGCTCAAAATGTTGTAGGCTTTTTGAGATAATCCCGCACCCCCATGCCTAGAAATGCCAGTCGAGGGCACAAGAGAGAAATGAGCAGCACAGACAGGAAGTCCTTTCTTTTTGTTGTTTTGAACAGAGGGAGGTTTATTATCAAGAAGATTGACTTTAGCAAGACTGGAATCCGCTGATCAAATCTTTAACAGTTTCAAGGTCCCTTTGCTACATGATAAAGCACCTCAAATATTTCTCTGCTCTCATCATTTAATGGAAGATAGAGATACAGAAATTCTTCCTCTTCTACTGCAGAATAATGAATAGCTGGCCAGAGATGTCTCAAACACTGCTAATCTTCCCACTGCATCATGCGCCATCATTAAGAATAAACAGTGAGTAATCTTTGGTCATAAACTATAGTAACAGCTGCTTTCTTCTTGTGGGAAGGTAGATACTTTCTTGGATCATGTTTAAGTGCCCAATATTTGTTTTATGTGTGGAGGAAAAATATTCTAGGATCTAAAGGAAACTTACATTCATGTTTTCTTTCATTTAACTATTTATAGACTCAGTATTTCCAACACACACACACACACACACACACACACACACACACACACACACACACACACACCCATCATGATTCACCCATGAGTGTTCTCATCAGGAATCTAATTCGTCTTAGCTAACTAACCATTTAGGTGATTACTGTGGGGAGCTGTTTCTACATTTCTTGATTTTTTTTCTGTCATTTGTCTCTTTAAAAGTTATTTTTAAAGACAAATATAAGTGTGTTTGTGGGGGTGGGGTGTGGGTGAGTCTGTTCCCGTGAGTGCAGTCCCCTGGGAGCTAGAGGTAACAAGTGGTTGAGAGCCATCCAAGATGGAGGCTGGGAATCAAACCTGGATCATCTATATCATCTATACTCCTTTTTTTTTTTTTTTTTTTTTTTTTTTTTTTTTTTTTTTTTTTTTTTTGCCAAGGGTTTTTTTTGTTTGTTTTGTTATCTTTCCTCTCTTTGTCCTGGCACTTGCTCTGGAGACCAGGCTGGCCTCAAACTCACAGAGATCTGCCTGCCTCTGCCTCCCGAGTGCTAGGATTAAAGGCGTGCGTTACCAATGCCCGGCGTTGTGTCCTTGTTCTATGGGAAAAAAATATTAAAGAGAGGAGCATGGCTGAAATGCAAACTTGTCCTGTTAAACTCAACAGATGTAAAAGCAAGCAAAATGAAATTCCATCTATTTTCTAAATGTGAAAGGGTAGGAAATTTTCCTGGTGGAACTGTTAAAGTATCTGTTTTTGTGCCAGTACCATGCTATGCTTGTTACTATGGCTCTGTAGTTAAGTACAATTTGAGATCAGGTTTTGTAATACCTCTTGCATTATTCTTTCTGCTTAAGGTTACTTAGGCAACTTGGGGGTCTTAGCATAATGGAACTATGACAAAGGTAGAATACCAGGACAAACAAAATCAACAGAAGGCAAAATAAATCTTTGAGGGCAGAGAAATAAGGTTAGTAAAGGTATAAACCACATAATCAATATTTATCAAAGACTGTAGTGGTTGGGATTCACTAGGCAAAAGCAATAAAAATTGCCACCTTCCTTTAGTTCCATGCTAAGAAGGGAGACAGGAAAAGGGAGTTAATTATAAAAATTATCAGAGAGTGACAAAAATACCAGAGAGAAGAATAAATCAGGAAGGGAAAAAACACAAGGAGAGAGTGCTTGTTTAAGGAAAGTGGACAACAAAGGTCTTGTTGAGAAGGGAAGATTTGAACAAAGACTAGAAGTTGAGAGCTACTATATCAAAGACTAAGAGATCAGGTCATGTGACTTCCTGAAGACCAGAGTGTCAGACACAGCAATAAAAGTGCAAAGGTCCTGAGGCAGGCAGACCTCAAAGAATCCAGAGTGGTTGGAATGGACTAGAATGGGGGAGGAGAGAGCCAGAAGGAAATAGGTCAGGGAGGCCACAGCTGTTGACTCTGTGTGACCCAGGGAACTGCTGGAGGGTTTGGAGTAAGAGAACAAAATGATGAGCACTAGATTATTGCAAAGAGGTTGCAGCGACAGAGGTGGGGGCAAACACATCAATTAAATTAATTAGCACGAATAATTATGTGTCTGCCTACATTGAATGGATGGCTACAGAAATTAACCAAAGATAAGACTTTGCAATTAGTTGCAAACACATTTAAATACTGTAATTGTACAAAAGTATAGAGCTTGTCACGAGTGAGAATTCAGTAACATATCAGTGCCTTTCCACAGAACCAGCTGTTAACTTTGAACACATTTTTAACTAAAGATAAAACATATGAATAAAAACAAACAGCCAAACCAAAATAAAATGAAAACATACAGGTAGGGAGAGTGCTTGCCTAACATGCTGGAAGCCTTGGGTTCAGTTATTAGCCCTGGCTTAAAACTGGGCATGGTGGCACATTGGGAAAATAAAGGAAGGAAGACCACAAGTTCAAGAAAATCTTTAGCTACATAATGAGTTTGAGGGGAGCTTACGCTACAGGAAACTCTGCCTCAAAATAAAAACAAACAAACAAACAAAAACGTACCCAAAATCTAACCAAGGAAATACAAACAAAAACACCATTCCTGTTTGGGAACTTCAAGCATCTACTGCTAGAGTACATAAAAATTTTCTTTCCTTAGTCTTGTGTAAGATGTGGTGGAAATAAGTGCCCCACAATATGCCAAAGCAGTCTTTTACATTGCTGTGCAGGCCTTTGCTTTCTGGGAGCTGGAAGTGAGGGACACTTGGTTAGTAAATGATTAATTTATGTCTACATGAATGGCTTGGTCTTTTTTTTTTTTTCAAACTTAAAACATATAGGTAGTAAGAACTCAAAAGGATTACATATTCTCCAAGGAATAAAGGAAATGGGAAATTGAGCACACCAGTGACAGGTGAATTTAACTGATACTCAGGCCTCGGAATGATTAGATTATGAATAGCTTGCTCCTCATCTCTCGTGAGACTTTCCAGGTTAAGAACAAATTAGGGTTGAAAAGTGTCACAGTTCGAGGTAGGAGTGGCCACGGGGTGCCGGTTTCCTCTCTGAAGTAGGTTACCACATTCATCAGGGAAATTTTCTGTTGAGTTATAATTACATGGCTAATTAAGAAGGGGATTATCAGCTATATTAAATATTCCATAAAGAGAGGCACATCATTTATTCTTTAATTTTGGAAATCCACACTTTTTTTCTTAGAAAAATTCTCACTGGGAAATTATATGTTTAATATATATGTTCCCCCCTCCTCTTCTTCCCCCACCTCCTTCCTTTAAAAAAATTAGAGACAGGCAATGTCTCCCTAAGTTCCCCAGACTAGCTTCAAATTCATTATTCTCCTGCCTCAGCCTCTTAAGTGGTGGCATTAGAAGAGTGTGCCACTATGATTGGCACTCCCTTTTCAAATCAACTTAAGGGAAGTGACTTGAAGGTTTTTTTGTTTTGTTTTTGAGACAGAATCTTACTATGCAGCTCTGGCTGTCCTGGAACAAACAAGTCTAGTCATGTCGACCAGATTGGCCTTGAATTCACAGAGGTTAGCCTGCATCTGCCTCCCAAGTGCTTAAAGGTGTATGCCTCTACACCTGGCTGAGTTGAAGGTTTTATTTATGGAGACAAGGGATGTTGTTTCATAAAGAAGTGTCCCTAAGCATCACATTCATCATTTACAATGACAACTGAAGGTCACAACAGCCACCATGCCAATGCAAGACACCCAGAATTGCTTTTGAGTCAAAGAAAAAAAATGAAATCAATGACCATTATCATTTATTAGCTGCTTAACATCTGCCAAATGTTTTGTCTCATTTCATTCTTCCAACACTCCTATGAGGTAATGATATACTCATTAAATAGGCAAGGAAACAACTCAGAGAAGTTATGAGAATTATTCAAGGTCATAGAGCTTGATCGTTCCAACAATGAAATTTAAGTTCAGGTCTGCAGACCCTGAATTCTTGTGTTAAGAAGGAATCTTCTCTAGTTAAAATAGCTTGACATTAAGCCAAACACGTTTTGTGGTTGTATTCAACTTGGCTTGAGATTGTAATAGCCATGTATCATGAAACTAGTTAATAAGATCTTATACTCGGCAGAAAATAACTCTCTACTGAACTCCATTTGTCCAGACACCAATGTTTTCTAAGACAAAAGCATGACTACCAGGAGACTCCTGACCCACCATTAGCAGCAGAAGTTAGAATGTTCCAGATGTTTACTCTGTCTTTCCCTATTTCATTCCAGTTTCTGACAACATAGACATCACATGACAGACAGTGAACTTTGATACCATCTATCCGTAGGCCTTCTAGAATGGTTAAGCATTAGGTGGGTCATCTCCTAAAAACAGGCCACCCCAACCAGGTGCCTGGCTGGTCAGCACAATGTTCTTGAGATAGCTGGTTACCTTGTTTGCAGCGTTCAGGGCTAACACCATTTCTCAACTCCATTATGGTTAACAAGAACATCAGCCTGTCCCAGTATTTTTTTTATGAGGAGAGATTGGGTCAGGCACCTTTCTCATTCTACACCATCTTTAATTGTTTCTCAGACTTGCTACCTTGACCCCTCGGGCTGAAGAGGCTTTGTTGTGAGGACCTGTCCTGTGTGTCTAAGGAGATTCAGCAGCATCTGAGGTTTGTACTCACTCACTAGCTGTGTATTCTTTAATGGAGACAGCCAAGATTCTAGTTCTTATGAAGTATCACTTCATAAATGTGAGCCCATGAGAACTGTTTTGCTTCCTCAAGGACTTTAGGAGCATTTAGGTAATGCTATTGGCCTGATATTACTGAAGGGAAGTCTAAGGAACATATCTAATGTATCATGATGGTAAGCTCAAGAGCTCAATGCCCACAGACCAACTTAAAGCACACAGATGATTTCAGTGCAGAAGACCACCTCAGTGCATATGGATTGCATCAGTGCAGAGCAGATCACCTTAACGTATGCATAGTGAATCAGTGCATATAGACTACCCCAATGAATGTAGACCAAATCAATGTATGCAACCTGCCTCAATGCATATAACCACTGCAATGCATATATCCTGCCTAAATGCATCCACCTCAATGCATATAGATCACTCCAATGCATATAGACCATCTCAAAGCATGTAGGCCACATCGAGGCAGTAAATCATGTCAATGCATGTAAGCTCCTTCAATCCGTATAGACCACCTCAATACTGTAGACTACCTCAATGCATGAACACTGCCCCAGCACGAGTACTACCTCATCTCAATGCATGTGGATTGCCCAATGCAGTTGGACTTCAGACTTTCAAAGTTTCTTACTCCATGGGTGAAATTCACTCATGAATTTCACTACTCCCTTTTCCTCTGCCTCCCCGATTCCACTTCCATGCTCTATAGTTAAGATGGAGGAGTGAGAAGAAAATGGCTATCCATGACACACTACACAGAACATATATTGTCCTGTGATCTTTTACTCAACAGATTAACCCCATTTTCATTAGAATTCTGGAAACCAATGGAAACAAAATTACAAGTATTAGTTGGTATATTCGAAGGGTTCTTGAATCTGTCTGATTTAATTCTAACCAATTAGTGTGCCATTATTGAGGAATATTACACTTAGAATCAATATTAAGCTAAACACTGATATTTTATTCAGTATTAAAAATTTATACAAATGGTAACACAAGTGCGTTCTCTGAGTGAGAGGAAATGGTTCCTTAGGGTGATTCCAGCAAGAAAGAAACTTGGATCTTCTTAGGAAACCATTAGTATTAAGTTTTGTGTAGGCCGTTGCTTAAACGAAGGAGAGTTAAGTGAATAAAATTTGTTTTCTTTTAAGATACATGTGTTTTTTAGGATTATCAAGCTTTCTTTCCTTTTTAGACCTTCAGTATAATCCTGTGTTAAGACGGTTAACAGTTGGTGCCTGTCTTTTAAGACTAACTAGAGTAAAGCCACTGTATGGCTTTTCCTGATTTTAGGGTACCACTTCTTTCCATCTTTTTCTTTCTTCCAATTTGGCAAGTGTTAATTGTCAACTTGACAGGATCCAGAATTACCATGGGATGGGCCTGAGGCATGCCCCGGGGTGGGGGTGGGGAGTTATCTCAATTACATTAACTGTTGTGGCACAACCTTATCTTTATTGTGAATGGAAGCATTCACTCCCTGGACAGGAGCCTGGTCTGTATAAAGTAGAGCGAGCAAGGCGCATAGAGCATTAATTAATGCACCCACCTCTCCCTGTTTACTGACTGTGGATGCAATGTGGCCAGCAGCTTCAAGTTTCCCATCTCTTGAGTATCTCACCACAGTGGGCTTTTCCCTGGACTGCACATGAAAACAAATCCTCCCATTCTTAACCTTCTTTTGTCAGGGCATTTCAGCATAGCAACAGAAAAAGTAACGGAGACAGCATGTTAACGCTGCCCTTCTGATTTGTAGACACTCAGGTTGGAATTCGAACCCAAGTGTGTCCCGATTCTGCTTTGTATGTTTTCTTTGCAAAGAAGAATACACCTAGGTACACTGTAATGTGCCTAGGCACACACTGAGGTAGATATACTAGGAACACTGTAATATGCCTACGCACACACCGAGCTAGATATGCACCCGAGAGCTTCGTCCAGATAGTTTTATCAGGCAAGATTTCACACTGGGTTCAAATATGTTTTCCTTATTGCTCATGTCTAGCCTTCCACACTCTGATTGCTTCCCTGGACACTTTGCAGACCCTGCCTCCATGCTGGCTGCTTAAACAATTCTACTCTTGTCCCTTCAGTATGTTTTTCAAGCTGCTAAGTAAGGTTGGACAGAAACATGTGTAGATGGATTATATAATTTTGTTTCCCAATTTCTCAGCCAAATATTTGAACACTCTATCCTTTAAAACACCTCTGACTTTGTGAAGTATTATACTTCACATCCTTCAACATTAGAATTAGCTTCATATTTTTGTGGTGTCCAAGTTGGGTAGATAAGATCAATCTTTTATATGCATCTTTTTAGGAACCATGGAGGAAGAGGGAATTGGAAGATTTTAAGAGTCAGGGGTCATGGAAGAACAGAGGACAAACAAGGCTGTCTGGACATGACAGTGTTGTGGGGTATTCACCAAATATGGCTTGGACATGGGTTTAAGCCAATAGAAAATCTATATTAGCTGGGCGACTACAGTAGGTTTTTCGGGTGCACTGAGCCTTTCTCAGGGTGAGCTTTTAAGCACAAAAATCCATGTTCTGGGGTGACATAGTTCAGTTAACAAGAACAGTTAGCCAGAAGTGGAGCCACAGAAGCCAACACGTAAGATTAGTACATTTAGAGACTTCTTCAGAACTGTGGACTTTGATGGATTGGGCCTTTATTTTCATTTTGGCAGGTGGTGCTGTCTACCTGCTGAGTTTTACAGTCTGAATGGCACTTCCATCATGGAGTCAGTTGTGTTAAGATCTGGAACCCTATTACAACAGGACAGATGAACTCTCAACAGCTATGGTTGTCTGCACAAGACCTGTACAAGATCAAACCAGTCTGCAATCCAGCATGGAGTGGGAGGAGCTTGAGGCTCCACCCCTACCCAAGGAGCTATTGACAGCTGATGCTTCTGGGGGTGGTGCTGTCAGTTTTCTTTAGGAGCATGGCCCCTAGTAGGTCAACCACACTCCAGTGGATGGCTCAAAACCCAGGAATATATACGGGCAGCTTACATTGGGCTCAGTGGGTTATTAAAAAAAAAAGAAGGTTGAGGTTAGGGTCTAAGTATACCTGTTCTTGTACTTTCTTCTTTTTCCTCTGCAGTCCCCATTTGCCAAGCCACTTCATCCCCCCCCCCACACACATCCTTTCTTTTCTTTTCCCCATTTATAATCTATAAAAGAAAAGAAGTTGGAAAAGAATGGGGTTTATGGGGATAAGGGGTTGAATATGATCTAAATACATTGCAAGCATGTGTCACATTCTCCAAGATTTCATAAAAATATATTTAAAATACATGTACCCTCAAAAGCTTGCCTGAAATCCTAAAGGCAGTGATAGTTAAAAATAGACGTGCAGAGTCAAAGCAGAAAAAAAACCAGAATAAATGGAACTTATGAAACCTTAGAAATTAGACATGTGTTAGGCATAAAACTATACTTCACCACCACAAGGAGAACATTTCACATAATAACCTTTAATAGGTTGACTTTTCTAAAATACAGGGAATTTGATTTAGCAGTTCTTATGTACATAGCTGTTCTGAGATGTCCTTAAAACCAAAAGGTTGATGCCTTAATAAAAGGCATTATAACATGAGCCTATTTGAATTTGGCTTATGAAAAACAGGACTGGAGAATTTGAAAAGTGTGTATAAACTGCAAAAGGATTTAATTAACGGAAACCCCAAGGACAGAACTTCTTCAAATAAGCAATTACTTTGGGGATTAATAGTGTAAATAGGCTCCTGACTCATTAGTGAAAGCCCCAGAATCTGAGATTTAGGGGCAACCCCCCTCTACCTATTCTTTAAGTTATTTCTGCCCATGTGGTACCATATAGTTAATATGGGGCCCTGGTACATTCAAAACTTTTTGATAATTTGTTCACAGACTGGGCTTATGTTTACTTTTGCTTTGCAAAGGCTGTATTTATGGGTAGATAAGATATGGTGTTTTAAACATGTAATTTCAGCCTTATGTACAATTTTTAGACATAGAATAAACCATTTTCAGGGAACTTGGCCCTTTCTGAGCTCCTCCATACATCCAATCTATATGCTAATAACAGAATGTTCATATGATTTATTGCAAAGGGTCCCCTTAAGGACTTCTACTTTGTAATGTTTTGTTGAAGTTACTGTATGTAGTTAAAGGTAATAAAAGCCACATTTGTTTAAGAGTTATCTGTAATTCAGTCCTCACACACATTCAGGTATAGTTCACTTCCCCAAGCCTGGAATAAATGAAATGCTTACAATATTACAATAGTTATACACAGAAGGCTTTAAAAAAAACAACTGTGCATTAGGGCATTAAATATAGAAATAGAAAGAAAACACATTTGTGGGCTGAAATTAACACATGATTTTGTGGGTAGACAAAACAAAGTCACTCTGGGGAAAACAAACAAACAAACAAACAAACAACAAAATCCAACCCAGCAGCATTGCCCTGTCTTCAAAAGATAATTTCTCCCATTTGGGCCCACCTTTGTCCTAGTCACTTGCAGAGTGACCATGCATTTTCATGTTCAAGACAGCCATTGTCAAGGCCAAGAGGAGTGGATACACCAAGCTACAGTGTAGTGGGATTTTGATCCGTTTAGCCAATGACTTTTGAGGCAGCAAGCCTTAGGACCTGGTCTTGTCCCTCTCTCTTGGGTGGTCAGGGCAGAGCAGGTGGCTTGCGGTTGGTGCTCTTCACCCCTGGGCAGAACGACTGGATGAAGGCAGCTGGATCAGTGGTGGCATCTAACTGGTTCTCTATCAGTGAGTATTTGTCTCTCTCCTATACCTAAATACATTCTTGAGGCCCTTTAACAGACTCTTGTGGCTTCTGGCTACACTGGGGCATCTCTGAAGAAAGGGAATGCTACTGAAAGGCATTCTATCCATTTCTAAATCTTCCTTATAATGTGGTCATGACTTTCCAGAGAACACATGCCAGTTTTATGTGCGAAACTCTACTCGTGTATAAAATATGCAAGGAAGACTCATGTTATTTTCATGATCCCAACTCCTATGTAGGTCAAAATGACTCAAATTCTAGATCAGAGGAAATATGTTCAACTGCAATTTATAAAGCCCCACAATGTAATGTTTAAAAATGGAATGTTCTTCTTCTCTTTTTAAATGCAAACACCCTGAAGACAAATCTGAGTGTTATTCATAAGGCATGGCATCTTTACATACAAGCAGCAGCTCTACTTTCTCTCTCTCTCTCTCTCTTTTTTTGTTATTGTTGTTAAATACTGTGGAGCACAAAGCTAATTCCGTTACTCAAATTAGTACTTACCATGCAAAAGGGGGGAACAAGCTTCGGTTCTGATTTTATTACTGAAGACAGCCTGGTGAAAGGCGTGCTTCTTTCTAGATGGCCCTTTGTTGTGAAATCTAGGATGGAGATGGAAGCAGGAGACCCATAATCAGGAGGAGAAACAGCGGAAACATCACTTCCAGACGTCAGTGATTATTCTTCATCAGGAGGAGAACCACTCAGCCTGGATATTCTATTTGGAAATTGTCCAAAGAGCTAGAGTGAGAGGGGGTTAAAGTTGGAACAAAGGGTCCTACTTTGGAAGCAGGATACCAGAATGAATCCTACTAGAAGGATTTGTTTCTTAATCATGTAGCTTGGGCTAGCCTCATGCAGCTGAGGATAACCTTGAATGCTGGATCCTCATGACTCCCCATCCCCAGTGCTAGGATTTTAGGCAAGCAGCAACAACATGCCTGGTTTTATAAGTGGTGGCGATGGAACCCAGAGCTTTGTGGGTGCTCAGCCAGCCTGTGCCAACCAACCAAGTTCTATCCCTCCTCCATTATAGGTGTTGTCATTGTTTCAACATCTCCAATGCTCAGTTCTCTCACCTTTTGGGTGGAAGTGATGCCCTTAGCTACTCAGTAGGTGTGGAGAGAGATCCAGCTAATAACTACAAGGGCTGTTGCACTGAACTAAGATTGAACTCAACTAGCCTCTGTACTTTCATGGCTTGCCCAAAGCAAGCCCTGCTGTAGTGACCTGAGTGAAAGTTGATATACAAACAGACCACAAGCATACCTAAGAATGCCTTTGCAGTTCTGGCCAACCACAGCCATCAGTTCTCCAGCCAATTAGACACTGAGTGCTGCCAAAATATAATCATGTAAGGCAAGGGCCAGCTGCAGCCAATCAGGTGGCTTTGATTTGTTACTTTCTTTTTTCCTGGTTATAATATAGCTTATCTATGTGGAAGGATAGAATCTTCTAGACATATTTGGCCCAGAATGCTATCAGGTCATAGAACCTCGTTTCATTTGTTTTCATTCTTTTTTTTTTTCTTGTGTAGTGCTGGGCATAAAACGAGGCTAAATTAAACTATTAGAGTCAACTGATCACAGTTCTTTTAAGAGGTACTTAGAGTGTTCCTACTCTGGCACTAACTTAACCTTAAGGATTTGATGTGGTTCCCAAAATAGAATTAATTAGATGATAGGAGTAAAAATCAGAAGACATCAGTGAGAATTAAAAGGAGAATACATACATACACATACATATATATGCATACACACATATATACTCACATGCACTCACACACTGATCAACACGTCAAAGTAGCTGAAAATAGAATTTGTATTTCAATTTCTTGGTACTTTGGGGAAAAGGAAAACATAAATTTTTAATATCCTTCAGAAGAAATCATGTCACTTTATCACATTCTCTAGGGAAAAGCAGGTATATCATCCTTCTGGCATGAAATTCCTAGAGATTATTTTTTTTCATGTGCAAAAATACAGGGACACTGAGATAAAATGGACTATTTAGAAGTAGGAATAACTATGTGAAAATTGAAAGATATAATAGCATTTTTTCATAGAGGTGAATATTTCTACATAAAGGGTATTATTCCTAGAGATGAACTTGATGCTTGGCTTGACAGCATCATAAATATAAGCAAGCCAGAAATATTCAATTAGTAAATCACTTGGCTCTTCCTTTTCTCTAAGTTTTCATAACAAAAAAGAAATGGGGTCTCTGTGCGTGTACACATGTGGTGTGTGTGTGTGTGTGTGTGTGTGTGTGTGTG